TTTTTGGTGGACTTTTGCCTGTTTCTAATTTGCAAAAGAAGGTGTCTCGGCCACTTTGTATTCTCCTTAAAAATGATATAAATGCCCATAGTGTCGGGTGGTCAACGGCCATTTGTAGATTAAGCCGACGAAAAATAATTAAATGAAAAAAGAACTACGCCGAAATAGACCCACGTAGAAACGGCTCTACGCCGAACCAGCTACGCCGAGATGGCCACGCCGAAGTGTCCGGATACGACTTCACTCATAACTTGTTTGGGAAAAATTATTGTTGTACCATCATTTAATTTAACTATATCTACAAATTTTACTAATCATCTAAATCCAAAGAAATATCATGGGTATGGATTTGAGAATAAAATTGAAACTCACCTAACTAAAACAATAAAATTAAAACTACCTAGTTACTCAATATACCGTGCAGACCACTGGCACGGCTCATGCAGGCTCTGCCATAATCATTGCCTCTAACTTAGTTCTCAACCTACACTCAATCAATCCACAAACCTACCTTCAGTCAGTTTCTCTCAAGCTGCCCAAAAATTCCAAAACCACCTAACTGTGCTAAACACCTGGTTTCACGACTGGAAAATCCAAGTTAACCCATCAAAATCATCTCAAATTACTTTCACACTTCGATCCTTAGAATGTCCCGCAACCTTTATCGGCAATGCACAAATTCCATCTTTCACAGAAACTAATTATTTGGGTTTAATTCTTGACTAACGCCTTACATGGGGTCCACACTTAAAAAACAAGCGTAAAGCTCTCAATTCAAGACCCTTCTCAGACCCTTACTCCGCTCAAAGCTGTCATTAAAAACCAAAAGAACAATATACATGGCTCTTCTAAGACCCTTGTGGTACTATGGCATACAACAACTTTGGGGTTCAGTCAAACCCTCAAATACTAGAACAATTCAGGCATTTCAGTCCATTTGTCTAAGTATAATATCAGGTGCCCCTTGGTATATTACCGATGAATCACTTCATAAAGACATATGAATTCCAATCTTAAACAGCCTTGCCAAAATCACCTACAAAAAAACACACAAAACATTCAGTACTCACTCTAGTCCTATAATCACCCAACTATCATCCAATCAAATTCCAGGTAATCCACCCAGGCGTCTGAAAAGGAACTGGTGTAGGGACCTACTCTCTCCTTAAATCGCTTTCCACGGGGACTGGCCAATGGGCAACTTCCCTCTCCTGTTAGGTTAGGGTTAGGTTAGGTTAGGTTAGGTCAATTCCCATCACATTTACTTATTGTATAACTTGTAAATACAGATTGTAAATATTATGTTTTGTTCAATAAAAGAAAAAAGTATGTTTTTAGCAACAAAAGGAATCAGAATCGTCTTGGAAGTATGTTAACATTATTTAATTTACTTGTTAATATGTTTGTGACTAAAAATAAATATTATTTTTTTTGTTTTAGCAATTCTTTGGTATGATACGACAGGCAACCGGCCCTAATGACCGTCCGTCAGCTCCTACGTTCTTGCAGGTTTATAAATGTTATCTACCTATTCAATCCTGAAACCCCCAAAAACTGGTAATCGTATGATTCTTCATTCAAAATGTCCCAAAATAACTATATCTGATATAGAGGATATATTTCAAAGTGAAGAAAGCGAAAGAATAATTAAAATTAAAAACTAGACATACTTGTAGAAGAAGGAAATTATGAAGCAGAAGTTATATTTAGAGATCATGATTATTCATCAGTAAAAGCTAAAGTCTGTGTTACATTTTATATATGTGGATATTTTTGTCGTGTGGTCAAAAAACGTACTGCTTGTGATACTTGTCTTTTAGCTTTTAGTGAAGGTACCTAATTATCAAATATTTTGTATTTTTTTATTAATATTCAGTCTTGAATCACCTATAATAAAATCATATTTTATTATTATTATTTTATATTAACTTTTTTTTTTAAATATTATTTTGTACATTTTGTTTTATGCAATCAAGGTAATGTATCTCACGCTGAAGCAACATTAACGAACATAAAATCAAGAGAAAATTTAGTTCATCCAAACTCAATAATTTATATATTCATTTCAAATTTAGAAAAGTCATTTGAAAACTACCGTGGGAGTCCAAGTACCTTTGATGATACTGTTAATGATTTTTTTGGAAAATAATAACAATCTACTTTCCATGTAGTGAACATAAAAGTGATATTATGAGTTCTATAATTATATATTATGTAACCATGAGAATGAGACAATATTCTTGTATGCATAATAGAGAACAGCAACATAAAAGCTCTAAAAAAAAGTTATCCAAATTGGTGACAAATTGATTGTAAAATAGGTATAGAATAAATTAATAAAAATATAAAATAAACTTGAAAAAAATTAATAACCATTGACAATTTGATACTTCTATAATATTACCTACATTCAAATTTCAATCTTCATCACAAATATATATTTTAGATATTTATAACAATGCAATATTAAATCGTACGTATGTAATGCAAGACCATAAGTTATAGACAAAATTAAATTATTTAAATTAAATATGATTCGATACGATATAGGTACCTAATAATTAATAATATAGATTTGAATAATTTGATCTATTCTATTTTTTTGAATAGTCGTCACAGCTTGCTGTGTATTAAAATTCAGATGATTTAGTAAACCGACAGAGTGCGCCATATACACCTAGGTTCACTTCAGCAAGAGTACCCGACCGCAATATCAAGAGTCGTTACCAGTCCTGTATATCTTAGTTCGTGGATCCAACGATGGATTACACGCTGACATGTGTTGGTCCTCGTGACAACTTGCACGATCGGTGCTCTGGCGTGTAACGGGTGGCGCGGCGGATGAAAACTACATTGGTCCCTATACGTTGCTATCGTGAACTTCGACGATCCAGACGAATAAGGCAAGACGAGCAATGACAGCAACGGGGGCTGTATGGCGCACAGACGGAAAAAGAACACTTCTATGCGTCCAACGACGGCGCAATGACGACACACGACGGGTGACGGGGTGCGTAGTACAGAACGATTCGTGCTCCGCAGACGGGTTCTGAACGATAACTAACTGACACTGACCGCAATAGCTGGCGACTGGTAGGGATGCGCAAAATATATATGGATATTTTCACATCGATAATTCATTGATTCATACTAAGTCTCATATTCGTTGTAATTATTTTGTATTTGATTAGATTTTCATATTATAATTATATAATATTCAATTTAGAACCTGCCTTTGACTTTTAATCATGATATTATGTGGGCTAGACTAAGATGGTGCTCAGTTTCCTGTCTAGTTAAAAATCACAGAATTTCCCCATAAATAAAAACACAGTTTAACGGATACATTTTATAATTAACTTTAAAAGGAAGTACATCTTAACATAAGAGCGCTAATATCTTTATTAACATTCTATTAAGATAAGACCAGAGAATTATATTAATGTAACAAATGTTGAAAAATTGGTATCTTACATTATCCTAATATATTATAAAATGACATTGATGCAATAAACCACAGAATATAATATACCAGCTGATATTATATTGTAATAATTAATAGTTATCGTTATTTGTTACTATATTCAATTAATTTTATTGTTTCTTAATATTTTTTTGAATATTATTTAAAATGAGTGATAGTTTACCAAAGAGTCGTCTATTACAGTACTTTAAAAACATTGATCAATATAATTATCAATGTAGAAAGTGTGGCAAAACATATAAAACGCCAAATGGTTTAGTAGGTAATTTGAGGGCTCATTATTTCACTCATGTAAAGGCATCCAAACACATCCAAACACCTGAAAACAAAGCTCCTGGTCATGATTTGATAACTGCTCCATTTTTAAAAACAATTGCTACCCAAGACAATAATACTTTTATCATATATATTCAATTCTATACTCCGCCTTTCTTACATGCCATCTATCTGGAAACATGCTCAAATAATACTCATCCACAAATCAGGCAAACCCCCCGAAAACCCACCCTTATACCGTCCTATAAGCCTTCTGTCAACACCTGAAAACAAATTACAAACTACATTGACTGAAATTGAAATGGAAACTGAAATGGATATTGATGATCCAGAATCAAGAGAACAGCATTTATTAAGTACATATAAATAGTGATAATATTGTAATAACTGAAATACAGGAAAATTTACTTATGAACGCCAGTATGTGGTGATCTAGGTTTAGTAATACATTTTAATTTAAAAAAAATTGTAAACACCAAGTACATCAAAAGAAACAACATTATTTTCATCTGGAAGTTCAATTTTAAATTATTCAGTTCCACAAGCACAGTTAAGTTTACCTGAAATGTTTGGAAATATGAAATCTTTAGAAAATAAGTAAATAAACTATTAAAAATTAAAATGTAAATCTCTACTAGTGTACGCCACAGCTGTACTTACCTTGGAGGCTCGTGAACAGTAATGACTCGTGCTCTGTCGAGGATGGGGTTACCAAGATATTAAAATAAGTTATACAACGATTCAAAAAATGTAAATAATGACAAGTGATAATATTTTTAACTATACATATAATAATAACAAAAGTGATAGTATATATTATCTATATGAGGAACGGTACCGTAAAGGAGACAAAGGACGGTGAACTGAGTTTCTTTTAACCGGAGCTGGTTGATGTGGTGAACTGGACCCGAGCTGGTTGACGTGGTTGCTTGCGTCCGAAACCAATAATATCGGAAGGACTTCGTACACGGCGGTGCTACAAAGGGCACAGGCAAAAGGCCGTAGAAGGAGAGCCACGTGTGTGCCACGGAAAAAGACAGTAGGTTATAGAGCGCTGTGCACACATATACGTCTAACGGCGTATCTCGTCAAAAAGAAAGGTGTCTCAACAACGAAGCTCACATGGCGGGTTGACTCGCCGGCTAGCCGCCGTTCGATCCAGCTGATCGAACGGCGACTGCTTTCTCGATCAAGGGGGAAACAGTGTGGCAACATCCGCCCCAGTGGCTGATCATAATAACCAACTTGCGCGAACATACTCCCCCCTTGGGAGACTCCGTCTTCCAAAGCTCGAGAACTGGAACTCTTGATATGGTGGATGTGGTTCAGCTGTCCAGGGAGGAAACGGATAAAGTCAAAGGAGTCCCTAGTTCCATGATTTTTACAACATAATATACATAAAAGATCACAACAAATAATATAAAATAATTACACAAACAAAAATAATCCCATCTTGATCATTGCCCGAGTCATTGGCGCCCATACCGATAACAAAGCGGGTTAAACACAAAACCTAGTGATCACGAATGGAACAAGCAAGTAAACTGTACAGTGGTACCCTCGGGAACACGAAGGAAACCCAAATTTATAGTAAGTGCCTAATTTTTATTTTGTGGGTAAGCGAACTAGCTTGACCACAGGTCTAACAAGCGTACCTTGCCCTGTCAAAAGCTTGACTACGCGAACAACCCTATTCTGACCGGATAACAACTCGGTTACTCTACCTAATCGCCAACATAACGGCGTAGACAGGTCGTCCTTGATGCACACAAGATCACCTACCTTGAGCGGAGTGTCACTGGCTGTCCATTTCGAGCGTATCTGCAAATTGTTTAGATACTCCAAGGACCATCGTTTCCAGAACGCTTGGTGGCATTGGTGAAGGAGCTTCCACCGCGAAACCAAACGACTGGGAGCAACCGACACGTCTGGCTCCGGAACACACAAGAGCGGCTGACCCGTCAGGAAATGACCAGGTGTCAGACTCTCTAAATCCCCAGGTTCAGAGGACAACGGTGTCAATGGTCTGGAGTTTAAAACAGATTCAATACGACAAACAACAGTTGCAAGTTCCTCGAAGGTTAAAGTATGGGCTCCTACTGTCCCAACCAACAATTTTTTCATTGATTTCACTGCTGCTTCCCAAAGACCCCCAAAGTGCGGAGCACTAGGAGGATTGAAATGCCAGCTGCATGGGAGGTGTGAACTAACTTGGAACCGAACTGTCGAATCTAAAAAGAATTGGCGGAGCTGCCTTGACGCACCTACAAAATTTGTACCACAGTCTGAATAAATATCCGTCGCACAGTGGTCTGAAAAGTAAATTTAGCTTACATAAAATTAAATCGTAGTTTTTATTCGTCATAAATTGCCATATGTTTTTACTTTTGTGTATTAACTATTAAATAGATAAAATAAATTACCATATTTAACTAGTTAGAAGATAGGTACCAATTTTGGTACACTTAAGGACTTCGATTTATGTATACGTATGTAATGCAAATATACAATATTAAATAATTTATTAAATCGTAACATTATATTTTATTATACAAATTTACCTATAGCTTCGACATTCTTCTTATATATAATTCTTATAATTATATTTATTACATTTTAACAAGAAATATTAAACGTAAATGATTAATTAATATAAAAGTTATATTATTCCGAATCATTGAAAATGATCCCAAATGTGGGATGAAGCTGATCCTGTCTAAAGGGTAACGGGACACTATAACGACCGCGTTCATCAATGATTGTCTCAGCTTTAAACCTAGCTTCACAGCATCCCTCATCGGTGAATTGTAGAGGTGCCTCTTCTGGCTCTTCTACGTCCCAGAATCTTTCCATCAACGATTCTATAGATGGATTGACAGTTGCCAACATACAGTGTGCGTTAGAGCTAACGTCTTGCAAGACTGGACCGATTAGCACCCAACCAAATACAGAACTGTACGCGGAAGGTAGTCCTTGGCCAAGTGAGCGTTGCTCGCCTATCCACACCTGTAGGAAGACGTCGGCACCTAACAACAATTCAAGGTAAAGGATAGCTCAGAACGATTATAGCAAATACTCGAAGATAAACCGAATCCGCGCGTCGCGGTCGCCTTCGCGGCGGCTCCGACGCGCGGTGCTGACTTCAGCCCGCAGACGTGTGGGCTGGGTCGGTACGCATCCGTCACGGCGGGGGATGTGCGGTTTATACTCTGCGCAGAGGGGACTGATCCGGCGATATCGCTCCTGGCTCAGAACAGCTGTTGCAAACTACACCTAGCGCTTGTTATCATATTTGTGGCAACTTTTACAAAATAATTTACCGCCAAATTTATAAATATTTCGAATTAAATAAATTAACATACAAAATAGATTCGTCAACTCGTCGTGTTAAATGTTAATTACTATCACGAATTAAAATATAGTATATTTTAATTCGTGATTACTATCATTGGACATTGTTTATAACCAGGAATTAAAATAGACGTATATCTTAATTCGTGTTTATAACTGTAATAGATTTCCCATTTTGCCCATTTTTCATTAATCCAAAATATTTTTTTTTTTAAAAACAAAAATGAGTTGTTGTGTTCCATTTTGTGATTCTAAAAGAAAAAAAAGTACTTTCTTTTGGTGTATCTAAAGATTTAGATTTATGGAAAGTTTGGAATGAAGCTTTAGGTTTTACATTAAAATCTAAATCCCAGATTTGTGAAAATCATTTTAAGCCTCAGGATATAACAAGAGAATGGATATCGGGCCAGGGATCTAACAAATATACGGTATATTTTTAATTGGTTTTCAAATAATTGTGTCATAATTATATGTAATATTTTATAAAAAAAAAAAACTATAAAATACTTTTAAGATATGTCTAAAACAACCAGGACTTAAAAATGGAGCTGTCCCCCAAAAAGTGTTACAATTTCAGCCAATAGTCAAAAACAGTATTGAACCAAATATAAGTCTGGATATAATGAAGCATTCAAGTACAATTTCTGACTAATGAATTTTTTAGCTTGAATATTGGTTTAAAGTTTCCTTGCTTAGAACATGAAGCTGATATATCAACAAATATTTTTTCATATTATATACCTATGATAATGAGGCTGTACTCTTACTTGATGAATCAAAACTCAAAAGAAAAAAGTAAAACAAAAAAAAAATTATCCAAATTAGTTAAAACATGATTTGTTGACTAATTTAATTAAAGTTTCAAATGTTTAGGCATGTAATTAATAATTTTGTAAGTATTTTATGTAATTTGTATCAGGTATCTATATTAATAAATATGTAAAATTATATGTATTATGTAATAAAAAATATGTAATTGATATTCATTAAATAATTAAATGTGCATTTTTCTTTTACTACCTATTGTTCTATGCTATTAGTTAATACTACTTACCTTCCACTTAACACTTTATTAATCTATTTTGTCATAGTAGAATATTGAATAATTAGAATGGTACCTATTAATTATTAATTATTATATTGCAGATTACAGTAGTCAGTAATAAGGAAATGCTTGAATGTTTTAAATTAATTATTCGAAAAAATCATCATATTATTTGTTCTTTATGCTTTATGCATAATATTTTAAATTTGAAATAGTCTATCCATTAGTATACATTTAATTCCCTTGGAGCGCTAGTGCACCTTTGCACATTGAAAGTCAGTTTAGGAGCGCCTTATCATGTATCGTTGGGTATCCAGTATATTTTAATTCGTGGGTACACGTCTTCCAAAATCACAATTAATGATAGCGGAATTTTCAAATTTACTGTTGCCAACTTAGAAAAGTAAAACTCCCACTTTACCCGCTGCAAGGGTGACATCAACACAAAAAAAGCCGCTTGTTTTTAATAAATTCAAATATATTTATTTTCTAATTTAAATATTAGTAAAAAATAAATTATATTTTCATAATTCTTGAATAATCAGCATCTATATTGTATAAGAAATGTAGTGTTCAAGTAATAATAATATTAAGTATCATATTACGATCGGTGGGGATTGTCCGTCGGTCAGAAGCCAATACATAATTTTATTATTCATGTTAGTAATACACAACAATAATTTTTCAGTAAGGTTTACATAATATACAAATTTTGAAATTTGTCAATTTATTATGTACCATGATATAGGTTTCTAACGATTTCTTTTAGGAAGTCCCTTAAAAGATTACCATGTTTGCTATAAATTATGATGTTTACCATGATCTGAGTTATATATATTGTATACTATTTATAAACCAAACATCAAAAAATATGTTTTTCCTAATTAAATTAAATTTGTAGTTTGTACCCATAACTATATAAGATTCAATGCACATAGTGTTTTTTGAGCTTTCTTGACAAAAGAGATTTCTGTTTTCTTTTTGAATTTTGATTATTGTTAGTAATTATTTTACTCCTCATTTGTGTTTTAATTTTACAAAATAAATCATGGAGCAAGTTGTACAAGTTTATGTATTGAATGAATACAACTATGCACATTTAAAAGGTCAAATAACAATAGAATACCATTTAATTGGCCATAACTATAATACCTCAAGTAAGTATTTTTTTAAGTAAAAATTATGAAGTTTCATATTGGTTGCCAATACATTCAAGGCTGGGCATTAAAGAGTTAACTTTAGTGAGTAACTTCTAAATTAACAAATTAATTTTTTTTCCATGTTACAAAGTAATTTTATAAAAGTGTTAAAGTGTATAAGTTAAATATAATAAGTTAGGGTATTTACTTAAATTGATTTTTTTAGTTCAAGATAATATCTCAGATTCTGAGTTGGATGAAGGTAAGTAACAATCAAAGGTGGGCAAGTTAATATAAAAAAAAAAATTAACTTAACTCAGTTTAAAAAAAGTTAATCTATTTTTTTTTTTAAGTAAATCACATAAAGAGTGAATGTGTCTTTCTAGTTTCTAATTTATAAATTATAAATCAATTTGATTTAACTTTTATCATAATGTGCACTGTATACCATTTTACTTTTTTATTATTTATTAAATTAAACTATACTCATCTCAAATTAATAATTTAACATTTAACAAATAAATTGTTTTATATTGTATAGCAATTGAATGTCATAATACGTGAAGCCGAGTAAATAAACCTTCCTATATATATAAGTTATATAACATTAACACATAATAATTGTCAATTTGTAATTTAAAATTATTAATTTTATTAAAAACATTATTGCAACTCGCATAATATATAATTTACAACATAATTCCTTTATATTTAAATATATAAAACAAAAACTTTAAAACCTTTAATAATTATACATTTTATTTGCATGGTTTATCACATGATATTGAAATATTTATTGTATTTCAGTAACAAAGTAATTTCAAAATTTTTATCAGCCATTTTTCCTCTCATTTTTTCCATCAATTGCCCTCCTGCGCTAAACAGCCTTTCTACAGGAGCTGATGAGGGTATCGCCGTATTGAACCTTATGTATGCTTTTTTCAATGGTAAAGGTAAATCATTAGGTGTTTTTAACAGTGTGTTTGATAGATAGGTATCCACCAACATTTGTACGTTATTGTTAGGAAAATAATCTGTTCCTACAGTGATAATTTAGTTTTCAAGTTATTTTTAGAATTTTCTTTTCAATTTTCAGAATCTGGTGGTCAGCTGTATTTCCCTTATCGATAATAAATTATTGTTATTACTTATTTGTACTGCAAACATCTAATACTATAAAATGATAATAGCTTATTGCCTTTCTAATAAATAAAATATATTAATATACACAAAATTATGCTATCAAGAAAAAGTACAGAAATGTTTGTGTTATTAAAGTATTGGATTATTTTTATTTTAAACTGATATAGTAATATTTACGTATAAACAAAAAATTTCAAAATGTTTTTAACTTATTGGTTTTTTTTTTAAATCAACTGAGAATAGCTAAGTTATATCAAATGTAAATTAAACTAGTTAAGTTCATAAGTTAATTAGAAAACAAACTAACTAGTTAAGTTAAAAAGTTAAAAAAAAATTAACTTTTTAACTTAACTTTAACTTTTTAACTAGTTAATGTCCACCTTTGGTTACAATTAATATAATTTTACTTACTACAATATTTTTTAGATAAATATAAATTATAATATATTTTAGTAATCGAAGAAAATGATGAAAATGAAGAACTCATAAATGATTATGAAGCCGGTAATTTGAATTTATATTTTATAAACATAATTATTATAAATATTAATATTTAATTTTAATTAATTTTCTTCATTATAGAAAACTTACAACATAATAGAACCTACATTTGTATACCAGGTGTACATGACAAATCTAATTTTTATATTGACAATTTTCAAAATAATTATTATAAAAAAAGTGTTGTACGAAATAAAATGTTAGTATTCAACTGACTTACAATATTCAAATCTAATAAATAATACTTGTTATTTTATTTTTCAATAAGGTACTTAATTTGTGAAAAACAGAGAAAGGAGAAAGTAAATGAATACTGTCCAGCCACAGCCATCATTGAAATTCATGATCCTGAAAATCGTTTGCGGCTTCATCCTGGAGGACACAACCATGGTGCTGTTGAAAGAGACCTTGATATGCCATACTTGAGAAGAGCTATCGGTAGGAGGGCCAAAACATTAGGTGCTATGTCTATGCCTATCAGGCACATAAACAATGAAGAAATTGTTAGGTAAAGAATATTTTATAGTAGGTAACTAAATACAGATTATCATAATAATTGTATAAACATACCAGTCATCCTGCTGGAAGTCTTGGATATACATTTCAACAGGCTCAACATAGATGTAAGAGAATGAAAAACTGTAGACGACCAAAAATACCAGAGACAATTCCAGCATTAAACCACATTAGCTATGGAACTACTCTGAACCATCGTCAGACTTTTTTCAACAGGCATTAACTGTTGAAGGTATTAAAATCGGTGTAATATTTGCAAATTAGGTTTTGATAGCAATGTTTCACGATGAGTTACGCACTGTATCTTATAGGTTGTGACCACTCCAAGTTCACCTAAACCGTTCCGTAAAGGTTCATTAATGACATTTCAAATTGTATACAAAAATGTTGTAAGTTTGTTTGTTTTGGTAAATTATTAAAAAAATAAAAATAATTATTTAGGTAAATAACAATTTGATAATGCTTACTAGTCATTTCCAATTGTATATGCACTCTTGTCCACGACTACAGAACAAGCATACATCACTTTCTTTCAGGTAGTTAGAAATATGTTACCATTAAATTATGATGGTCTTACAATAATCACAGATTATGAGCGTGGGCTGATGAATGCTGTACAAGAGGTGTTTCCAGAGAGTCGACTACAATGTTGTTGGTTTCATTTCTGCCAGGTTATTACCTTTTACTTCCCTTAAGCTGTAAACAATTTGTAAAATTGTAGAAAAAAAATTTATGTTTTGCTTAAAAAAATTATAAATACTTTTCTTTTAGTCAATTGTGGATATTGTCGGCGTAGGTACAATCTGGTATTAGACCTCATTAAAACCAATCCTATACCTACCCGTGTATTGCGCATGGTAATGAAATATTTATACCTATATAAATGAAATAAATTCAATAAGAAATATATTGTTTGTAATTTAGGTTTTAGCATTGCCTCATTTACCAGCAAACAGAGGAAATGAAAGTTGCCCAAATTTTTGTACAGATGATGGTTTTAGGGCAATTTTAGAATATGCGCATCAAAATATTGAAATCTACCAACGCATGGGAACATTTTAAATTTTGTATATATTTGTTGAACACTTAAGTTTAACATGTAACTTATCATACTTATATGAAATAAAAAAATCAAAATGTAATGATTAACATGTTTTAATTAACAGATACGTACAAAACTTTCGGTTGATTCAAGTTGGACCTGAATTAATAACTGTATTTGCTAGCGAAATCAGAACAAATAATTATTTGGACACAAGCAACTACTCAGGTTCTTTGGGATGCATCCTAACATCTGGGACTTTATAATCTTTGTCCCAAAACCAAAACTGTTTTAGCACCTAAAGGCTCAAAAGATGTATATGAAGTGGCAATTGGAAACTCAAAAGAAAATCTGACAGTTATGTTCACTTTTAATGCTGAAGGCTTAATGTGTCATCCATTGGTGATACTTAACTATAAACGCCTACCTCAAGATATTATAAATTCTGTACCTGAAAATTGGGGGAGTTGGGCATTCAGATAGTGGATGAATGAAGTCTGAAACCTTCTATGAATTTATTGCCAATATATTTTATCTCTTTCTACTTGAAAATAATATAAAACTCCCTGTCATACTTTTTGTGGATGGACATAAAAGTCGTCTAACTTATCAATTGAGTCAACTATGTTCGGACCTTAAAATTATTTTGATTGCATAATATCCAAATTCCACTCGAATAATGCAACCGGCTGATGTAGCTGCATTCCGTCCATTGAAGTCAGGATGGAAAAAAGGAGTCTTTGAATGGCGTAAAAATCAGAACAATTTGAACAAGGCAGTATCTAAAAAAGATTTTGCTCCAATATTAGACCAGGTATTAAAAAACTCTTCATCCTAGCATTTTGAAAAATGGTTTCAAAGCCTGTGGTCTTTATCCTTGGAACCCTAATCAGATAGATTATAAAAAATGTCTGGGTAAAAGTCAGGTAATTGACCATTGTAATACTGAGGAAGTCTGTAGCCTTAATAATTTTGATTTTAATACTTTTTGCTATGAAGTTGGTCCTGAAATGATTTCAAAATTTGATCAAATTAGTAACATTTCAGAAACTGAAGTCTTAACTAAAGAATTTTTAGCTGTGTCCAGAATATATAATTTAATGAAAAATAACAGTAGTAAAAATATAACGAATGAATACCATTATATATACTGATATCATAAGTGTTTTGTTTTATATTTTTTTTATACTCATGTTGTTTTATTCAGTTATTTAGAAAACTATACTCTTGTTATATATCTAATTTTATTATGAATCATAAATATTGTTAAAAATGTTAACAAACAAGTAACTATGTAATTTAAAAAAATACATTTGCAGATTTAATACTATTAAAAATATAAGCACATAAAGTACAGGGGGCCGATTCCGCTAACGCGTGTTGGTCGCATTAAGCGTAGTTGGCATGATTGGAACGTTAGGATATTATCAGCGCATTCGACGTTATCATTTAAGCTATTCTCTTAAAGACGTAAACGACGTTACCAGACAGTAAAAAAAAACGGTTTATATCCATAGACTTAAAGAAATAGACGGAACATTAGGTATGATAACGCCTGCAAGTGGGTGGAGCTTGTTCCGAGGATCGGGCGTTGAAAAACCGCGGGAATAATTTTCAATATTTAAATATATCTATAATAAAAATAATCTATAATATCTATTACTTATAGAAACTATGAACAATTGTAATAATATTATTCATTGAAGTAGGTTATGTTATTACCTAATGGCTAATATTATCTATTATCTAATAGATCGAAAATAAAAGATTATTTTTATTAAACTATTTATTGTCCTATTATAATACATTATTTAAATTTATAAATATTTATTAATTGTTTAAACTTATGTTTTTTCATTTATTATAAATATTATTTATAAATTTGAATAATAAGTTCAGTTATGAAGACATGCATTGTGTGCGAATGTAATGATCAAAAGGCAACATTTCATAAGTATATTTATTTGATGAATTATATATCAATAACTAATAAGTCCAGACTTGGCTACCTTTTTTGAAAGTATTCAATACGGTATTTTTTACAAGTATTCTAAGTACAGTATTCGGAATACTTTTTTTCTTATATAGGTATACTCTTATGCATTAGGTACTAATTTTATTAATTTGAATATAATTTATGACTAATAGATTCAAGATTGCCATATAGGTGTGTAGGTACTATTGTGATTATAGTAATCTTCTTTTATAAACACAGAATTGAAAAAATAATATTTTTGGTATTGAAATCTAAATCTACTGAAAAAAAGTATTCAAAAAATATTTGAAATACTTTATGTGAAATATTCTAGATACTTAGGGTTAGGAATATTATTATAAAGTATTCGAATACATACCTATTCTGAATACTTTTTTTTAAGTATTCAGAATATTTATTTGAAATACTTTTAAAAAGTATTTTACCCAAGTCTGTCAATAACTTGGTAGTTGTTGGGTGGCAGTTATTATTAATTGTTCTTTGTGCATTTTATTAAATTAGATTCCCTAGTAATCCATATATGAGGCAAAAATGGTTAAATCAATGCAACATTAAAGGAACACTACCTAATTATTCATACATATGTTCATCACATTTTAAAAAAGAGGATTATGTTAGTACTAGACTTAAGAAGGATGCACTCCCAAAACTTGTCGAGTAAGTTTAAGAAAATGTGTATATTTTATGTCAATGTAATATAAATATAATTGTTAAACATTTTTGAAATTTAGAGACCAAATTGAAATACAATATGTTCCCTCACATAGCAAAAATAAAATATTAAGTTGTTCAGAATCAAGTACACCACAATATGTTGAAAATAGGTATTATTTGGACCTTGATAGAATATTTATAAATTTTCAAAAAGTGTAGTACCTATATAATGTTATTATTTATTATTATATTATTTTTAACAGTCCAAAACTATCTACTAGTACTTCTTTATCCAGTGTAAATGACCATGGTGAAAATACAATATTATCTAGAAATATTATGATGACATCAAATGATTTGTTAATAAATACACAACGCTGTGCAAGAAGGTAATTTACAAATTTATATTGTTTTGTAATGTAACAAATTAAACATTTTTAAATTTATTTTTTATTAATTTTGTACAGGTTAATTTGGAGACCATCTAATGTTGCTAGTTTGACTAATGAACACTTTTCAACACCTAAAAGAGCTAAATTAAACTTAAATTTAATTAAAAACCAATTGGTACTCAAAGATAAAAGGATTAAATGTTTAACAGAGTGTAATCGAAGATTATTAAAAAAAGTAAAAAACCTTAAAGAAATGGTAGAGGTTCTGGAGAAACAAAATATGTTATCTGAACAAGCATCACAAATTCTGAAGGTAACTTTGTTAAATTTTATATTTAATACCACCAATTAATCATAATATGCCTAAATTAATTATTATTTATTTAGTCTTGCCAGTCTTCAGTATTAAGAGAGCTTATGATTAAAAATAAAAAAGGTAAATTTACTGCTGAGCTTAGACAATTTGCTGTAACGCTACAATTTTATTCAGCTAAGGCATATGATTTTGTACGTAGCACATTCAAAAATGTCTTACCTCATCCTAAAAGTATCAGTCGGTGGTACAAAGTTATTAATGGCAAACCAGGTTTTAGTCAAGAAGCATTACATGCAATTTCTTTAAAATCTGCCAATGAAAATGTTGCCATCAACTTAACAGTAGATGAAATGGCAGTTAAAAAAAATGTAACATGGACAGGGAGTGAGTGGAGTGGATTTGTAAATATGGGCACTGAAATTGGGTATGATGGAGATGAGCGAGATAGGCCTCTAGCTACAAATATCCTTGTTTTTATGGCCGTTGCCATTAATAGTCATTGGAAAATCCCTGTAGGATATTTTGCCATTAATGGACTGAATGGAGAAGAAAGAGCTAATTTATTGACAAAATGCATTATTTTATTACATGAAACAAACTCTCATTTACATTCTATCACATATGATGGAACGAGTGTGAATAAAACAATGTGCATTAAATTAGGAGCCAATTTTTCTCCCAAAAACATGAAGGCTTACATTGACCATCCTATTACACAACAACCAATTTACTTAATATGGGATGCAGCACATATGATGAAATTAGTTCGCAACTGTTTTGGAGAAAAACAAAAAATATATAATAGTAAAGGGGAATGTATAGATTGGAATTTTATAAGAATGCTCCATGAAAAACAAAAGGATCAAGGTTTACATTTAGCTACAAAATTGACAAATAGACATATCCATTACCACAATGAAAAAATGAGGGTTAAGTTAGCAGTGCAAGTATTAAGTGAAAGCGTGAATTCAGCTTTGAAATACCTCCATAACACTGATTCTGATTATAAAAATGCTCTTGCAACAGCTGAGTTTTGCGAATACTTCAACAGAGCTTTTGATATATTAAATAGCCGAAGTAAATTTAGCAAAGCTCCTTATGGTAAACCTTTAAGTTTAAAAACAATAGAAAAATATGAACAGTTCACAGAACAATTCAAAACATATGTAATGGGTTTGACACTTAAAGAAGTCACTAAAAAGCTAGGTTCTACAATATTCAAAGAAATTAATATAGTAAATCATTCCAGAAATACAGGTTTTGTTGGGTTGATATTAGATTTGGAAAACTGCATACAAATATATAAAACTTTAGATGATAAACAATTATTAAACCATGGTTATATGCTTACATATAAATGTTCGCAGGATCATCTAGAAACTTTTTTCAGTGCAGTTCGGGGAAGAAATGGATTTAACAACAATCCAAGTTGTTTTCAATTTGAACATGCCTATAAACGTTTACTTGTAAATAACCAAATAACTGCATCATGTTTTGGGAACTGTGGTATTCTAGATGCTACCACTATTTTACCACTGGAGTTCAATACTACGGATAATATAACTGAAGGCTCAAGTAAAGAATTAACTGATCATGATTATATTGAAAGTTCAGTAAGTCTCAGTAGTTATGTAGAAGATGTTGTTGAATACATAGCTGGCTTTATTGTAAAAAAAGTAAAACAGCGAATTGATTGTTCATATTGTAAAAACATATTGATACAAAAAAATCCAAATCGTACTATACAATTTGTGCAGTTCAAACAATGGGATGGTTGTAACTTAATTAATCCAAGTAAAGATGTCATACTTATATGTAAATATGCTGAAGCGTACCTAAAACAATACCAAACAGTATTATTTAATAAAAATAATATTTTATTATTTCTTAAAACTAAAATAAAGCAAGATATTTACATGGATGTTTTTCAAAATATTGAAGATCATACATCTAATCAATGTGTATTCAATAATCATAGAGAGCAATTAATTAATCTGATTATAGATTTATTTTTGAAAGTTCGTCTTAGACATATTGGAACCAGGATAAACGATGATGTATTCAAATCTTCATTCAGGCAAAAATTTACAAAATTAGTTACACATATGAATCAATAAATTAATAAAATAAATTAATTAATTAATAACTTTAGCTGAAAATGTAATATTTATTATAACAGGAAATATAATAATTATTTTATTGTTTTTATATGTTTATTTTAGATTTATCAAGGAAACATTTTTAGTTTTAAAACAAACTACAAAGAAAAATTTAAATACAAAAGTCTAACAGATATTAATTAACAATTTATTATATTTTACAAATGAGTTGAACTTGAAAATTTCAACTTAAATTATGAAATTTGTATTTTAAAATATAAAGAATATTATATTATTATCACAAATAATTGTCTTATCATTTAGAAAATAATAAAATTGAACGAACGCTCTAATTGGCTGTCCTCGGAGCAGAGGCCAATTCTCTCACTCTTATGATAAAACTAATGCTGTCTCTCTTAATCCGTTTGGCACGACCACGCCACCCAGTCCTCGGGACTAATGTTCCGTCTATTTCTTTAAGTCTATG